CAACTGCTGTAATTTCGAGAAATTAAACAAGAAGAGAAAGAAAAGAAACAAGAAGAATTCCTCTAACAACTGTTGTAATTTCTCTTCTCGTTCTTCTTGTTTCTTTTCTCGTTCTTCTTGTTTCTTTTCTTTTTCCTCTAACCTCTTGTTTATTTTGCTGTTCAAGCTGCCACTGTTGCATGTTTTCTTGCAGCTGCTGTTGTCTCTCTTCTTGTTTCATTTCTTGTTTTTGTATTGCTGCCATCAAGTCTGCTAAGCTGTAGTTTGATTTTCCGCCTCTCGTTTCCATTTTTCTTCTCTTTTTTTTTCTATCACACTCTCTGACACCAATTTGTTACGTCTCCGTTTTTTAATTGATTTTCCGTAACTTCGTACCGACAAAACTTAAGCGACACAAGCCTTTACTTAATAAAACTGGTTTATTCTTTCCGAATATAACTTTACCGATACACTCAACAATCGCGCTAAACAAACGCTATAGCAACGAACGTCAATAATACTCCGACCGCAGATCAATTACTCACTATCTACTCACACATTACCCTTCCTTCTTTTATATACCAGCATAACCTATTTCTAGTAAGAACTTGAACATTCGCCAAAGTACATGATAATTCTAGAAACGTTGCGTCACTGTAGTCATGTGACTGCTGATGCACAATAAGAACACAATCTAGCTTTCTTTTGAGTAGGGTTAGGTGTGCCCTAGTGATTAGTGCATTAGACTGCGAATATAGAGTCTGTGGTTTATGTCCTGTTGTCACAAAATCATGCTCCATTCTACTATTAGTTTAGAGTAGCCAAAAAAATTGACAGAGAGTGCTATTGGCTAGCTGTTTTACCTTTAGTGTATCAGTTCAAAAATAAAGGCAGTAATGTGAGAATAGCCCTTATGTAACTGTGCAAATTTCATAAACAAACAAACAATCCTTTTGATTAAGCAGTTTTACCCCAAGTATTGCTCAACACTGAAATGTACTCTCCCAGGATCTATATTTTGGATGCTAAATCAGTTGCAATAGTATAGACCTTTGTTTTTAAGCTTATAATATACTTACATTTGAAATTTGAGATTGTGAGTATAAGTAGTGGTTAAGGTCATTACTATTTACTGAGAATTATAAGAATATGAACACAATTATACATATAAAATTGATATCACTTTCTAGGGCCTTAGGTGGAATCCCACCACTGATAGAGTTGCTCAACCAAGACATTCCTGAAATTCAGAGGAATGCCTGTGGTGCTCTTCGAAATCTGTCTTATGGTAGACAAAATGATGAAAATAAGGTAGGTACAGGATTAATAATAATATATCATTTAAACCTCATACATGTAGTGTACATGTGACTGTAAAGTATTGTCTAAAGACATTTATTTTCTATTTTATTAAATAAATTCTCTGACCTTTTTAAGTTAATCAAATGAAAGTGTGCACATCTGGTATTATTTCTCATTTACTGGATGAAATTATGATTTCAGTGAAATTCATTATTGGGTTTTCATATCGTTTGATAGCAGCTTTTTAAACAGGAATGATGTTGAGTACATATCTCATTTGATAGTTATTTGTAAGAAAAAAGGATTGTTGGGCATTTAACTCATTAGATTTTTTTTTTTTCTGAGCAGGAAAGATGTTGTTGACTGTATATATGATTTGATAACTTTTTAAAAACATTTTAAATGGATTGGTTTCTCATAAAACTCAAAATCTTAATTTTGAAAAGCCACATTTTTTCAATTGTGCAATTACCTTTTATAAAAATCAATGATTTTACATATATAAACTGATATTATATTCATCAATGTGTAATTACTCAATTTTAACAAAAACATTAAATTTACAGAAATCAGACCCAATGACTTTTTCTTTTATGTACAAAGGAATTTACTTTATTTCCTTTCTATGGTAAATTATACATCTAAAATTACTTCCTTTATAAGTATATATATATATAAATATATATGTGTGTGTGTGTGTGTGTGTTGACATTTCAGAGGTCTATAAAGAATGCAGGAGGAGTTCCAGTTTTAGTAAGACTACTTCGAAAGACACCCGATAATGAAATCAAAGAATTAGTAACAGGAATCTTGTGGAACTTGTCTTCTTCAGAGGTACAACCTGAGTAAACCGTTTTTCATTTTAATGGATTTTATTACATAATTCAACTAAACTGTTTAAAAAAGTCTTTGGAGACTATAAATATTGAAAATTAATATTAATTTCTCATCTGAGCAGGCTAGACCAACTTTGTTAGAAATAAAAATATACTCAGTAATAATTATAGCTAACTTCATACCCTGTTCTTAGGTTCTTATTAATAAAGATGAGAATGCATTGTTTCATCAGTTAGTATCCTCACTTTTAATGATGTTTTCCATTGTAAACCCAATAATACAGTACTGAGCAAAAATGTTAGGACTAGAGAATATCTTGCCATTCCTTCCATTTTATGGGGCTAATTCTTCCATGCCATTTTTGAATGTAAATTTCAACACTATGGTAATGCTTCACTGATCCCTGTTCACAACTGAATGAGCAGGGTGAGAATACTTATCATT